TGTATCACAAAATGCACAATACCTTCATATCTGGGGTCTATTCTGCTGGACTATACGTCAATTTGCATATTTCGAAGAGCTGAATCATAGTAAGAGGAGGTAGCTTTTAATTCCATTATGAATTCAATACCTCAATCATCGATCACCACAGTGCAGTTCCGAGATGAGAATGTAATTCTATAATTCTGTAATATATTATTTGAGGTTAATTCAGATAGGGCCCTCATGATATATTTCCAAAGTATCAACTGTCATTTTTAATTATTAAATTATAAAGACTAGTGATCAATCTGGATTGTTAACAGACAACAAATATTTTGGTGTTCCTCTTGTCACTGCTCTGTGTCATTTCATGTTTCCAAGATATTGGTTTTGCTCAGGCTACTTTTATTTCTATCATCTACATAATAAATTCAAACACTTTAAGATTCCTTTGTTTCTGGATCCAATTCCTTCACAGTCTTGCTTGCTTTATCATCAACACCCTCTAACTTATCTTTTATATCATAAATTTCAGGATAGTCTAATTCACAATTAAACATGGCTTCAAATTGTTCCATACATTTTTCTGGACTTTTATCTTTATTTGAACAAGTTAAAAATTCTCTAATTTCTATATTACACGGTCCAGAGAACATAGTCCCTGCACAGGTACAGTGGAAATTTATTTCCCCATTGTCTAAAACAGGTCCTGAAAAAAAAATTGCACATGACAAATCTAACATTGAAACAAAATCATCTATCATCACTTGGCAAAGAACATAATAAAGTGCCTGTTAAATTTTCAAAAAAAAGCGATGCCATCGTAATATGCCCACATTTGTAATGGCAGCTAATTTGTCCAGGAGGTTGACAAGAATTATCAGTTAATGAATGTTTCTGAGAGTGAAATTTTCATATTTCATGAGTTTTCTTTACAGTTTACAATTCAAGAACAAGGGCAATAACCCATAGTAAATATTTTTCGATTCGTCTGATTTTCAATAGGGTTCATCCTTGGGTGATTACAAACACTCACACCAAGTTTCATCAAAATCCATCAAGAAACCAGCTCTCTATCGTGTCCACAAAAAATTCAAGAACAAGAGCAATAACTCATAGTAAATATTTTTCGATTCGTCTGATTTTCAATAGGGTTTATCCTTGGGTGATAACAAACACTCACACCAAGTTTCGTCAAAATCTATTAAGAAACCAGCTCTCTTTCGTGTCCACACTCTATCGTGTCCATGATTCGTCTGATTTTCAATAGGGTTCATCCTTGGATGATTACAAACACTCACACCAAGTTTAGTCAAAATACACCAAGAGACCAGCTCTCTATTGTGTCCACAAACAA